GCTTCTTCCCGTGCACACTAGGCTCCAGGGCACCCAGGCTGCCCCGTGCTCCCCTCCCACCATGGCTCTGCCCTCCTCTCATTCAGATCTCAGGTCAAATCCTCAAAGATACTGCCCTGACCACCAGATTGAAGTGTGCCCACCGCAGCAGCCTGTTTATTTCCCTCCTGGCGTTTAACACACTCGACATTTGTCCTGTTTATCTGTCAGTTCACTCTCTGTGTGTCTTCCTCCCTGCAATATCAGTGCTCTGAGGATAGGATCCCGTTCTGTCTTTGTCCCTAGCACCTAGACTCAGGAATCAAATATTTGCTGACAGACACTCAGTAAATATTTCCTGGGTAGATATGTGGATGGAGTACCCCTTAGTTACTACCAGCCCATCTGGGGAAAGACTGGCATCAGACTGGGGAGCCAGGCTCCTGCCTGACACTCACACAAACCAATTCTGTCATCAAGTACAGGCACTTGGGTGGTCTCTGCAACAAGGGAGTGACCCTTGAACAGGCATTCTGTGTGCAGACTGCTTGGGCATGTCTGGGAGTGGGAGCTGTCTTGAAGCAGGAAGTACTGGGACCATTGCCTCCAGTCCCTGGACTACATGCCCCACATATTGCACATCTCTGCACCCACATGGCTCTTCCATAGGCAAGTCAGCAGCTCTAGGTCTTTAAGAAAGCTGAGCATGACCCGAGGTAGGAGCTGCCGCGCCCCATGGGTCATTGTGGATGCACAGAAAATAAAGCAAGTAATTCATGAGTAAGGGGCTCTATCTGCCTGTGGGTGGGCACTTAGCTCCTGAACAGGTACCTCTGTCTGCAGAAGCTAGAGGCAGCGGCTGTGCCAGGCTGGGCTCTGTGACAGGTGACAGGCGACAGATGGGCCTCTGGAAGCTGTGCACACTGCCTCTGGTCTTCTGCTCACACGGCCCACGTTTCTTCACCTGCTTTGGGCTCTGCAGTGAGCACCCTCCTCAGAGCCCACATGTCACCTCACTGCAGCTTCATAGTGGAGTGGGATGAGGTTGTGGGGATACTGACAGTCTATAGGAGGAGGCCTAGGAGGATCTCTAACTGAGATCTGAGTGGGGACCTCCCAAGGCCTTGTCAGAGGATAGGTGGCAGTGGGTGGATCTCATCATTAGTCAAACAGAAGAGAAGTTCTCAGACAGAAAATCTGCACTGGGAAAAACAGGCTGGTAGGCAATTAGCGTTCCAAAGTGGAAAGGCCAATGGGTTTTCCCTGCTGTGTCATTTGGAGCACCATCCCTGAGACAGGAGCACTCGCTTGCTTACTTTGGGCCGAGGAGCCAGTTATAGAGACTGAGCCAGGGTTTGGAAGCAGAAGCACCCTTGAGTGTGGTTGGCTGTGGAACAGGCCTGCCACTCCCTCTGTCGGCCCATCTCAGGGTCTGCCTCCCACCACCATCCATCTGTACTGAGTCCCGGGTCTGTGACATCCCTATCAAGAGTCTTCATTCAAATCACAGAGGGAGTCTTTAGCACCAACTGGTACAAATGGACCTGTTTCTTCTGCCGCCATAACTTTAATGTAACAATTCCCATTTCTGACCATGTTCAGTAAATTTAATTAGTGTTGAAAAGCAGCTTATTTGGCAAGATGATCCGTTTTTAACCTGGGTAAACGACTTTCTTTATGACTATAAATTAAGCACATTATATCTTTGCATGCCTCATGGTCGTCCTCATAAATACTAGAGGCAGTTGCTGGGAGTCTCACTTGGTTACCTTTCCCATTACGGTTTTGTCATCATCCTGGTGGGAGTGGGGAATTCATTCTGTTTTAATGACAAGGAGGAAGCAGTGACAAGGGGCTTGTTAATGAGGAGCCCACCCCTTGATCAGGGTCTCTGAGGCTGTGGATCAGATTCCGGGCCTGCCCCTGCCCGGGGTGTTGTCAAGCTCTCTGTGGGGCCAGCTGTCAACAGCTTTTGTGAAGGGCATACGCAGGGTTTAAAGCTACTTTTGTCTTAATTACAAGTAATTAGGAATCAAATATTTGCTGACAGCCAATTTCTATGTCAGGGAGACTCTGAGTGTTCTTGACAACTTCCATGGCCACAGGTTGGCGCAGGTGTTTTCTTAACACTGACCCCTTGGGGCACAGCCAATGGGAAGGCCATGGGAGTCACACCTGCAGGCTAATCAAATGTGGCCTTCTGATGCATGTGTGATGCTGGTCCTGACACCAGCCTTTCAAGGAGAAGGTTAGGTAGAATGGGGTGTCCCCGTCCACAGTGAACTGGCTTTGGTTTGAAAGCCTAGGCTGAATTAGGTATCTCTGAAGGCTTGCTGTTCCTCTCCAAGGATTCTAGTTCCCTTGAAGGCCCACCCCTCAGACACTGTGTCTGCCCTCTTTGCAGGAGGCAAGGGAAACATACCCTCAGAAGCTCACTGCTCACCAGCTGTTCCACCTTCCCATACCAGCCCCTTGCCTGGCTCTTGAACTGCACTAATCAGCCTTATGGAGATTAGCTCTTAAAGCTCTGTGTTTCTTAAAACCTGAATGTACTGAGGCCAGAGAAGGACAAAGGTCCAGCACCTGTGGGGCCTCCCGAGGCCAGAGAGTGGGGCAGAGCATGACAGAAGGGGACTCAGAGAGAGGACACTTGGACAGGAAGAAACAACCCTCAGTGATGAGTTGGAGCTAATTTAGCCAAAGGGAGAGAGAAATGGGGAGCCCTCAGGGAAGAGCCAAAGCGAAACCCCCAAAACAAGCTCTGAGAGGCCAGAGCTCAGATGCTGCCCATTTCTTCCGCGCGAGTGGTTAGTGGCTTCTCATCCTATCTACACGGGAAGTTTATTAAAACAGGGATCCAACGGCAGCGCTCTGTGTCCTGGCCCTGTCTTGGGAAAGAAACAAAGGCTGATATTTTTAGAGCTGTGTTAGTTTGTTCTAGTAGCCGCCAGCACTTTCCAGGATAACCCATTTTCTAACAACCCAGGAGAATCACACCAATCAAACACACTCCAAGGCAAAGCAGCCATAAGCACTGTGAGTGGGGCCTTCAGCCCAGAGCCCCCCCTTTCCCCCCGCCCCGCCAGGTGCCCGCCTTCCCTCCTTCCCCTTTTCAGCCCACCACCAGCCAACCTTGACAGGAAGGCAAGCAGAGGGGTGGCTGAATGCCAGTGGGCCATCACAGTGACACGCAAACAATTAGCAAAGTGGATAAAAGAGATTCGCTCACTTAAGGTCTGCACTTTTACACTGCTCAGAGATATTTTGACCTTCTGGTTTATTATGATTCAAGAAAAAGTCAATACTTCTTAGCTTGCCAAGGCTGGAGGAATTTAAATGAATCGTTGAATCAAGCAGTTAATCTGCCGATAACTGATTTTTTTTCCTTTCAAATCTATAATGATGAAAAGTAGACATAACCAAAAACAAGATTTTTTTTTCCTTAGACATTTTAATCCCAGGGGGCAGGAACTGGGGCTGAAATTTCGCTCTTGACTACCAGGGCCATTTTTTTCTTGCTGAATATTTTCATGAAGATTTAATTAAAACTTAAAGCAGAGTCTTCTATGGTCGTAAAATCTGCATTCACATTTTGATTATTTGTATTGTGATATCCCCGTGTAATTCCCAACATTCCATCTGCTGCCAGCAAGGTCGCATGCCAATCATCTCCTGTTCCGGACTCCTAGAGTGGAACGTGGAGGCCTGTTTGGCCTTTCACTTGAATGTGCCCTTTCAGAAATCCCAGCCGCCCTGCCCTCCCTGGCTGTCTCTCTGGGCACCGCTGCCTGAGAGCCTGTGGGTGTGTGCTGAGTGCAGGAAACATCCAAGAAACATGAGCTCTCCCATTCCCAGGATCTCGGCCTTCCTGCCCACGGCCACAACATCGTGCTAGAAAGGACTTCGCAGTGAGGAAAGGCTGCTGGTAGCTCTGCTGCTGTAGATACATGTCATGGAGAACCGTGTTCTCGCCAGAGGAAAAGGCCGCCCCCAGCACCCTGAACACCCAGGACTGCTTTCTTCTTACGCCCCCTTCCTCCCTAGACTCTGCAGTGCCTCCCCAGTGCCCAAACGTCATACCTAAATTCCTCTGCCTGGCTCCCTAAGTCTCCCAGGACCACACCTTGCCTCCCCGGCCCCCTCCCTACCTCCCCTAGCCCATCCCTGCCCACAGCTCCTGCTCACACCTGGTCTTCTAACAGAAGCATGTAAATACTACCTTCAGGGCAGCTGCGAGAGCCACCACTCGAGCCCCCTGTGACTCTGGGAAAGCCCTCCTCTCCATCTGCAAAGGGCATGGGCACATCGCAACCCCATGACACCTGCACCCACTCCAAAAAGCAGCTCCTTGGCTCCTGTAATTCTTTGCCTGAACTCATCTTACAGCCTTGGTCACATCTGGTCTCAGATAGAGTTATATCATGGGTGTCATCACCTTACAGAATGACAAGGTCGGAGAGAGGGCTTGTTCATCTTTAGGACCCTAAGGCACCTGGCACACAGCCCGGCCCAAAGACATCCCATGATAAAGGAAAAGAAGGGCGGGGGGGAGAAGAGAGGAGATAGGAACCACTTTTTTAAAAAGCCCTTGACTTCAGTAGGCTTCTCAGGGGGGTTTCTCAGGGCAGGCTATGTCCTCTGGCGGGAGGCACTTCTTTGTGAGCACAGAATGGCTGGGTGTTTTCATTTTTCAGCAGCAGGAAAAGTGAGCCTAAGAAAGAGCTTAGAAAGAGTTTATCAAAAGCCCCATTGTGGGGCCCAGGATGGGTAGGTGTTGAGCCTGAGATATTCAGAGTGAGCCAGCTGTAACTTCTGAGCCCTGCACAGCAGTTCACCCTTGTTGGTAGCCTCTTGTTGGAGGGACAGGGACTCTATGGGGGACCTCAAGTCCCCCAAGCCCCACCTTGGGTAGCCTCAGCTTCCCAGGCAAAGGGAGCCTCTGCTTGTGGGCCATGGAGAGAGCCTGTGATCCCTAACCCTGAGTGCCTGCAGCTGACCCTCTGCGTTTGTGTGCCTGACAGGGCTTTCGGGCCACAGCGGGCTGTTGGACTCCTGCCGGAAGAAGTTCTGCAGCCGAGGGAGCCAGTGCGTGCTCAGCAGGGAGACCGGGGAGCCCGAATGCCGGTGCCTGGAGGCGTGCAGGCCCAGCTACGTGCCCGTGTGCGGCTCAGATGGCAGGTTTTATGAAAACCACTGTGAGCTCCACCGTGCTGCCTGCCTGCTGGGGAGGAAGATCGTCGTGACCCGCAGCAAGGACTGCTTCCTCAGAGGTAGGCAGACAGTTTTTGCCCTACACTTTGGGGCTTTGTGATGGATCTTCTAATGTCCTTTTGACGGTGCCCTAGGTGCTGAGTCCACAAGTTGCACATGGTAAAGGAAATAAAGGAAGAGAAAGACTAGTGTGCAACAAAATGCCCACACGGACATTTCAGTGATGCCTGTTCTGTCTGCGTCCCACCTCCAGACAGCCCAGCCTTAGAGGAACCCCTGCAGAGAGCAGAACCCAGGGAAGAGCTGGGGGTGGGTCAGGAGTTCAGGGCAGCATCAGCTCCTGCTCAGCAGTGAGAGCCACAGGGCAGGGCTGCAGCTGCTTTACACACTAACATACTCCCCTCACCTCAAGCAGCGCCTCTCACCAACAGGGAAGGCACTCAATTCCTGTGTGGGTTTGTCCTTGATAAATAGTACAAGCCACGCCTATAGAAGTATCTGTTACCCTGAAACAAAATGCATGCCCATGAGAGAACTAGGAAATGTACAAGGCAGGTGGGAATGCCCACGTAGACTGAGCAGGGAACTTCAGAGGCAGGAGAGCCCACCTGCAGTTACATGAGGTCAGAGACTGGCTTTGGAGTGGGGCAGAGAAGAGGGCAAGGCGCTTGGGATAGAGACCTGATGGGTGTGCAATGCTGGCAGGCATGGGCACCAGAGCTGTGAAGGGCTGGGCACCAGGTGGGAAGGGGCAGAGCTCCCAGGTCACTCTCATGGGCTCCCAGTCTAAGCATGTGTGACATGTGACACATCTGTGCACATGGGCACTCACAGCCGAAGCAGTGCAGCACAGATGTATTGGCCTCCACTGCCTCTCCCCACACCCCCTGCACCCAGGCAGTGGGCTGCTCCCCCACCTCACACACCAGCCGTGGCAACAGCAGAGCTCTGGGAAGGCACGTCTGTCCTGTGATGGGGAGAGTCTCCGCCACTTTCACAGCTGTGCTTATGATGCTAACGCTGAGGTGCTTCAGCGATCATGAGACACATTATGGAAATGAGGCCAAAATGAGCCTAGGCAAAAACACCCCCGGACGGGAAGCACTGCCCAGCACGTGCCGCTGAGTCCTCCGCCACCACACACTAAAACACTTGACCGATTGCTCCGGTTTTATTGGCCGTGTTGAATTTTATAGACTGATGTTCCATCCTCTGGTTTCCAATATCCCCCAAATTGCATCTTTCTAAACGTTTCTATTTCTGCATCAAAGTGTGCACAGCCTCCCTCACCATCAGTTATTCAAACAGCATTTCTTATTTCATGCCAGGGGAAAACCAGCCACCACAAAACCTCCTGAGGTGAGGGATGCTGGGGGGAGCTGGTGCATATGGGCAGTGGGCAGGCCGCCTCAAGCAGAGTGGGGCTCAGTTCTGCTTCATGCTGATCGAATTTATCCACCAAATTCTTCTGAATCACTGGGTTTGTCACAGATTTTATGAGTTCCCACTCACTCTGTGCAGCAGAACTGCGCTCCTAAAGCTCCCAGGAAGACCCAGGCTTGCATCCCTGCTCTGGTATGTCCCTGCTCTATGGCCTTGGGGACTTCATCTGCTTCTCTGGGCCTTTTCCTCTGTATACAACAAGCTAACAGCAGCCCCTGCCTACTCCCGCTGTGGAGAGCAGTAAGGGACAGACCCCTTCTGAGACAGGCATGTCTCAAGAAGTCAGCATTAGTGATACCTGCCATCGCTATTTACTCTAATGTGAAGAAGTCAGCATTAGGGATACCTCCCATTGTTATTTAGTCTAATGTGGCCGCAGGCCTAGAGCAGAGGGATGTGCAAACTGTGAAAGGGATGTAGAGGCTCTGCCCAGGAGGTTTAGGGGGGCATTTCTGAGCCCCAGTGGCTTAATGGTAGATGGAGGGTGAGCGAGGAAGTGCTGGGGGTCAGACCCTGCTGCTGTCCTTGAGAGGCCCACCCCGAGCCAGGGTTTCTCTTCCTGCAGATGCTCCCTAGGTCTGGGCCTCCAGTGCCTCAGGCCCAGGGCCAGCCCCAAGAGAGCCAGGCCTCCCCTCTTCCCTGAGCATGCCCACGGGGAGTGCCCAGCAAACACCCCCATGTTGCTGTGTACGCACCCAGGGGCTAGGTGGGTTGAAGGCAGGCCAGCCCCAAGGCGGGTGCCTTGAGATGAGCACTTCTCCCCACCCTCAGAACCCCCGGCAGGGAAGAGGGAGGAAACGGATGACCGCGGCCCTATTGAGAGTGAGGCGTGGAGTGTCTGGGAAGAAAGGAAGATGCAAAGCACAGCTTCCTGTAGTCCTCATCCCACAAGGGCAGCAGAATAGTTAATGCCAGCTTGAGATCCATTGATGACAATTTGTCATTTGTTCTAAATTCTCGAGAGTTATTCATACAGGAAACAAAATCACATTTCCCCGCCAAGCAAACAAAAATTCTAAAATCATCCATCTTCTATTCTCTATTTCTGCCAAACTTTACAAAGAGAAGTTATGACTTCATTCTCTGGTACTTTATCTGCCCCCAGAAGTCAACATGGGGAGATCCTTGTGGGGCTGGAGTGTGTAGAGCAAGGGCGTGCCTTCTGCAGCCAGAGCCCTTGAGCCACCTTGTGGGGGGATGCCCCTGAGGGCCAGCTGGGAACAGCAAGGGAGAAGAGGCAGCATTCTTAGCCTCATTTACAAGAAAACTTCTGGTATCACCTTCCAGTTGCTATGGTAATGGGATTCCTTGTGAAGGCAGAATGAAATATAATATCATTTAGGGATCATTAGCATGTGTGAAAATCAAACTGAACTGAAAAGCATGGCTTCGGCTAGAGTTTGCAGCTTTGATCCCGCATCTCATGAGTCACAAGCAGGGTCTCTTCTCGCTGACAGTCAGGGGCAGAAAGGGGTGTAGGCAAGATGTTGTATCTCTTCCTGTGGCAAAAGCAGTCATGTTTTTTTCTCAGCACCAAACAGTTTCCCAGAGAAAACTGCAATGCCGGGTGGAATGCACTGTTTAACTTCTTGCAGAGTTGGTGTTTTCAGAGTTATCAGGTGACATCACATTTCTATCTGTGTGTTAGTGGACACTTTTAAAATTGTTTTCTTGACATGTTTTGAATGCATGCTCCATCTCCTTGTGCTGCTCAAGAAGATGAGCTGGGCTTTCAGCAATTACTCAGCATGCCAGGGCTGTACTATACCAGATGATACAATGTCATAGTTGGGCAGTTTTCCAAACAAACCATGAAATTCTGGAAGAAAAGATGCTGTTAGAAGTTCAGTTTTAAGTGGGTTCAGTTTTAAGTGGGGCCTTCCACTTCCTCAGCCTGAATGGTGTTTGCCCAAGCACCTTGGTAGTTCCGAGGGGAGCTCCCAAGTTAGTGAAATCAGAGAAATATAATCTCCATGGGGGAGAGGGGGATTAAACATACTAAAGGCTCACTAATAAACCTGCTTTTTCTTAAGTATTATTGTAGAGGCATAAAAACATGTTGTGCAAGTTAGCAGAACAGATAAAGCCAGCTGTCCAAGAGCTTTCTTTTCCTTCTTTCCTTCTTGTTATTTTGTTGCTGTTGTTGTTACTTTGAATCTTGTTGTTGTAAGAACTTAAATCAGGCCCCACACCTCCTGGGAGCATTTCTGTACTTCCACACACGTTTCTGCCTTTCTGGGGAAAGCTCCTCCAGTCCCCAGCTGTGTTAGCACACGCCTAGTCTCAGCAGGAGACTTGATGTGTAAGGGCCTAGTGTGGGGCTAGTGTTGTCAGGTATTGACAGGGGATTTGGTTTAACTCTGCTGGAGCAGTTCTTATAGCTAGGAGGTACCCGAGGGAACATCAGGAAGGCCCAGGCTGATGGGGCAGTGTGGCACTAGCTCAAGGGCACTGCTTTGGAATCAGTCATGGATTCATACAGTGCCTTCTTGAACAAGGCATGAAGGGTCTCTGTGCCTAACTTACCTCATCTGTGAAATGGGAATAATAATGGTACCTACCTTGTAGAGTGTCCTAAGTATGAAATGAGCAGTGCCTAGCAGGTACTGACTGCTCTTCTCCAAGCAGTGAGGATCAACAGCACCAAGGATGACAGTGGTGTCACTGCAAACCTCAGGGCATTTTCAATGGACAGATGCGAGAGGTTTGCTTATAGAACCCTTGCTCACTTACGTGACAATGCTGTATATGGGCTAACAGGTCAGGGGAAGAGGGTCCTTCTGTGAATGAGGAGAAAGAAGAACATTGGTCTTTCAGATTTATTTCATGAATGATTGGAATTTGACCTCTAATTGATCAAATTTAATGATTACTTTCTCCAGCTGTCTCACTCTCTGAAAAGAGATGTATTGAGTCACCCAAGTTCATCCAGTAGATTGATAGAGATGAAAAAGGAAAACCACGGGTCTCTGACCACTAGTCTGGACGAAATTTCTGGAATGCACATAAGGCTCTCAGGAAATGTTGTTGGAGCCTGAGGGAAGAATTCATCTGCCTTAGAAAGAAAAGAAGAATATTTAGAGAAGATGCTGGAGGAGACATTTGAGGTGGATCTTAAAGAGCAAGGAAGAGTTTGCTAGGTTGAGAGGGTGAGGGAAGACTTCTCCGGGTGTAGGTGTGAAGCACCTCTAGGCTCAGGGAAGAGCAAATGACGAAAATGCAGACCCCGGGAGGGGAAGCATGGAGCTGGGCTTATAGGGAGACAGGTGGAGCTGAGCAAGTTGGAGAAAGGCCTCGTGTGCCAAGCAAGATAGTTTGAAGTCAAGCTGACTGCGTATGGAATAAGCTAATTCAGTATTCTGATTTTCCAGATGGGACCCTGAGGCCCAGAGAGGCAGGTACCTGCCCTGAGTCACACCGGTAGAGTCTAGTGCCCAGGCTCTGCCCTTATAGCTGGCCCTTCAAAAGCGCTCATAGCTTTGAGGCTGTTGTTAGTTAGGTTCCAGCAAGGTGTGCTCCTAGCAGATGCAATTGCTTCATCCTTCTTCTCTCGGAGACTTCCTGGTGTGGAAGGAGGACTCCGGAGGCATGGGCAGTGAGAAAGGCCTCACCTGCC